TCTTTCATTGATTACCTCTAATTTGAGGTCCAGTTTTTCCAGTCTTCCTTGTAGGGATGCATCAGCTAAGCTAAGATCTTGAAAAGTATTTAGACGCCCAACTCTTGCTTAAGACTGGACCCCATTTATTTTGGCCAAAGTTCACAAGCTGGATAAGACTGAAATCAATGCTGTTCAGGTATGGAGGTCAGAAAGACAGAGCCAAGCCTACTGGCTCTGACCCACAGGCACTTGTGCATGTCTTTCATTTTCAGCACGCGGGCAGCACTGAAACTTCTCGTTGCCTAGGTCCAGATTACTATGCAGAGCATCAGCAACACACACACCAGTACCCTGAAATAGTGAGGAATAGGGTAGCAGTCCCTTGTGTAACTACCATGTCTTGAAAAGTAAATCTAGGCACAAGCAGTGTTTGATGTTTGATAATGTGTTATTAGCAGAACTCCTCCTGCCTACGGTTCACGCCAACAACTCTGGCACAAAGTGCTGCTACCAGTGGTGTTCATACTCTCTGTTTGCAAACAGTACTGTAGCCTCAAAGATGCAGGCCAGTACAGTAACATGTTGCTGGTGCAATAAACACGGGCTTGAAATAAAGTTTAAAACCAGAAAAAGATTCAGTGGCTGCGAATCAAGGGTCAAGTCTAAGTAAATTTTCCTAAGAGCCAGCTGGTCTTCTGCCAGGTCTTCTGCTTCCATCCACAGACTGGTTTCCCTTCAGCTGTGTTGGCATCTCTCTGCTTAGGTGATGCCATGACTCTCTGCCAGGTTTATCTCATATTACAAAATTCTGAACACTGGACTGGAAGAGGTTGAATCTCTTGATTTTACAGGAAATATGCCTTATTTCAACATGGCTATGAGTTTACTATTTCTTTTTTAAATCAGTGCTGTTTTGCTAAATCCTGTATATTTATCATTAGTCTCATAGTATTTGATGCCCTGTAAAACTAATCCCAGCTCTCGTTGTCAAGTGATTAAACAAGAATTTCAGCCCTCACTTAAAAAACGCATTTCTAGGCTCAGTGCTGTTGAGAAGCATTTGAAAAATACTGAAAATGAAAAATGTTGAAAAATGTTAGAAGTGCTTATATACTCTGCAAACTGAGAAATCAGAATATATTAAAAAAAAATAGAGCTCTCTTTTCTACAGAACTCCCATAGTTTTTAAGTTAATATTGAGATTTGGGAGTCATAGCAGGCAAGTCCTCTTTGACTGTTTGCGTCGATAGAATTGTCTGTGTTTTCCCCAATTACTTATGATGTTCTCTTTTCAAACCTCTCTTCAAGAGGAGTGGATCAAGTGGAGGATGTGGGTTTGGCTTAGCACCAGCCTTCACTGAGTTTCAGGTTAAAGGAGACCCAAGTAGGGTATTTCTCTTCCCTGGCCAGCCCACCCTACTTTTTCTTCTTCACCTTTTTCCTTTAGAGTTAGAAAAGCTCAAAAGGTTCTTCCTGGTTTTTGAAGTTTGCTGCATTTCCCTTTGTGAATGCAAAGATTACCCTGCCCTAGTTTATCTAAAAAAAATCACTGACAACACTGACAGTATGCCATCTGCAGCCCTTGTAGCATGACTGGGGCAATGCTCAGCATTTACGAAAGAGTGCTTTTCTCTCAGATGTTTCAATTCAATCCATACTGTTGTTATTTATTAAGTAAGTCTTTATTTCCTGATGTTTTATTTATTAAAAAATAAGGGTTTATTTAAAATGTTAGGCCTATACGGGACTTCAGTGATACATAGGTTCTGTGTTGGCTCTCAGATCAGGGGTGACTTTTACTCTGTGTAATACAAGCATAGGTGGGGTGCTTCTGTGCCATAGAACACATGGAGTGAAGAAATGCTGTGGGATCCCCGTACCAGACATCTGCGCTCAGTTGCACTTGGTCTGAATAGCACGACTCTGTTGCCCTGCAATGGCATCTGGTTTGTGTTAGGACGAGTGAGAGGTGGTTCAGGTTTGGTAAGGTATCCTAAGCAGGTTGAAAGGCTCTCTTTTCCAGAATGGCATTAGGAAAGTCAAAGCAGGCTTGATCAGGTTTTGAAGCCAGTGAAATTTTGCAAGGCAGGCTTACCATTGCCCTGCTCTGTGCTGGGATTTTGGGCTGGAACCTTATCGGTTTTGGAGCAATGTCCTCCCACATGCAAAGGTTGCCTAAACGTTAGAAGTGAATGCTGCAACTTAGGTAACAACGTAGATAAAACTAAGTTCAGTTCTTAGCTTTGTTAACTAGCTGTCCTAGGACTTCACGGGAACCACTCTTTCTCTGCCTCAGTTCTGCTTTTTGGGTTTTTTTGGTCCACATCCCATTTCTGCCTTCCCCCAAGATACATTCTGTTTCCCACCCACGCCTTTCCTCATCTGAGAATTACTTAACTTTCTGAAGAGGAGTCCTGTGAAATGTATCCTGCACAGATGCACTGCTAGGGTGGAGCTGGGAATAGAGCATGGGTGGAAGTGACTGGGACAGGGACGAAGGAGCAAGGTGGCATATGGGACAATATGACACTGCAGCTCCAGTGGACAAGAGAGCAGAAGTGCTCCTTTCTGTGGTGCTGTTTATCTAAATCAGCTTGGCTGATCTTGCACTGTCCCTTCAGAGGCCCCCATGAGCTCACAGTGTGCACACAGAATTGAGAGCAGCCTAAGTAGTCCAGATAAAGTTGTGTGGGAGATGGGTGTCCATCTAGAGCAGGTGTTCCCTGAGATGATCCTTCTATGCCTAATTATAGTGCCTGGCCTTTTCCATCAACTCCCTGGCGTGAGTGACTTCTCCTCTGGTGCTCTCCTGTTTCGAGCTCTCCTGGCTTCCTTGGCCTGTGTACCAGTGTCAGCTAACAAGCTTCATAAGCTTCCCTAGGCCTCTTGATTTCTCCTTCCCACTGTTACTTACATGTCTCATGTGGCTCAACTGGGTCTCGCAGAAATTCCCTAGTCACTGTCATGGTTTCTGAGAATGACAGAGGGTTTCTTTGTGTGCAAATCAATAAGCTAGTGTAAGTAAAAACAAGAAAGAACAAGGCTACAGCAATGCAAAACCTATTATTCTTTTATTGGACAAATATAGTTTTAATGCTCACACTTGAGGGTATACTAGTAAATATGTTAAAAATGCTCAGAACATGGAAACTGACTGGCTGACACCACTGTTTCCTATGAAGCTTCACAACCTTAAATTGGTACAGGGGGTCGTCATGGCCCTTGAGCCAGCACTGCCGAAGCCACTGCTAAGTTTTCCATTGACTTCATCAGCTAAGAAACTGAGCCCTAAATGCTGGTTTCTTCAAGAGCAAAAATCCTACCTCAGATCTTCCTGGAAGAGATCAATAGTCTTTCTTGTTGAATTACAGCTGCACAAGTGCTGTGCAGTCTTGAAACATGGCCAGCTTATCCTTAACAAGGAAGGAGATCTGCAAGTTGGAGGGACTGAGGTCACCTATGTCATCAGTTTTATTTGTCTATCCTAAGCCAAGAATATATTACCAAGGGCAGATGGATGTTGTACAGGCACCAATAGTGGAAACCCAATCCACCTGAAAAGTAGACTCCTGACAAGTGCAGTGTTCCTATTTAGTGAGAGTGCGAGTGGCCTGACCTACTCCTGGGTTTGCCCAGAGCAGAGCTCCTGGCTAGTTGTGTCATTAGAGACTTTTAAGACAACATAAAAGAGACTCTCAGTAAAGCTGGGTTAGGCTTCTGTTTTTATTGATGGATCTACTCTCATTTTAATCAGGTATTGACATCTTCCAGTGATGTAAATACCTGGAATTCCCCTGTGCAGGCAGAGCTTTGCTGCCATGGAGTTATGCTGAGGGCTGTAACAGGTAACGCCAGATGCAGTATGTCAGAGACCTCCCGATGCCGCTTTCAGCTACTAAACACTGAGAAGCTGGTAGGGATCACTGGGTTGGTTCCATGTACAAAGTAGAGACAGGGAAGTCTAGTGGATGTTGGAAAGCTTATAGTGTGTTTCCACCTCATTTGGAGTGACTTGTGCTGGGAAGCAATTTATACAAAGGTGCTATGTGAAAGAAGGTTGTATGTGTTCAGAATGGCTATATGTATATATAAAAAAGGTAACTGCATACGCCGTAGACTTGTGTATCATAAATGTGTATGTCATAAGCAATTTTAGTTGGGGGATACAACTGCTGGTGCAGCTTGAAAGAAACCTCCAAAATCGCTGTTGCAAGCACGTGGGCTGGCAATTTATTTAATAGCTCCAGAGGGAAAGAATTGTATCTTCAGCAGACAGCTGATGAGTCTTGGCACTTTTTTTGTGAGCCTGATTGCCCTTCTCCTGTAATCACTGACCCTCATCCCACCCTGTCCATCCCCAAGCTTTCCAAGTTGGGTACACTAAATTTTTTAAACATTTTGAAACGGGCAGTCATACTCTGTCATCCTGCAGACAATGAATTTCCACTGACGATCCCTGCATGGAAGAGAGACAAGAGAGTGATATTAGTGAACCAGAACTGCAGACCATAAGACTATACAAGTAAGAATAATTTTACACCAGGTATTGTAGCAATAAAAACATGTGTCTGCCATGAGCTGACTTTCCTCTGAGTGCTTTGTGGTTTTATGGGCTGGAAGTAGATTAAATAAGTCTGATAGTTATAATTTCTTCACAGTCCCTTACAAGGTAAGCAATTTAGCTCTCTGAATAATTAGGTCTCTGAGTATCCTGCAGAAGACAATGCCTCTTGATGGAGATCAATCCTGAATTAACTTTAAATCAAGTGACCAAGAGGGAAAGGATGGTTCTGTCAAAAGTTATTGTCATGTGATTTATTGCTCAGGAATGTGTACAAAGTAAAATATGTGGGTGATTTTCAAGCCATTTCTATGTAGGGAGTTATCCACACAGCAAAATTCACTTTTTTTTTTTTTTTTTTCTTTCCACTACTAGTTCTTCTAGCTGGTGTCCTTTATTAAAGATGTGAAGGAATCAATAGTGAGAAGAATTAAATTAACTTATCTCCACAAGTCACATGTGACTTCTAATGTTTATGAGTTTAAGGAGAGTTTATGCCCTCCCTGGTTTGTGAGTAATTGGGTGTCTGTATTCCCCCTCAGGAGAGTGATACGATACCTACTAACAATTTTTAGTAGGAAGCATGGCTGGAGCAGCAGGATTCAATGGTGGAGGCCAGTGATTTAGTGTCCAATAGCTGCAACAGGCTGCAAATTTCCACCTTAGCTTATTGTGCGTTAAATTTTCCCCTGACAAAAAGGCATGAGTTCAGAAGACCAAATACTGTCTTGCTGTGGAGCAAATGTTCAGTTTAGGCTGCTTGGTACTGGCTAACAGGAGTTTCGATCTCAAGTACGGTGCTTGCAGATGGCAACTGTCATTTATATTGGGAATGGGTAGCACTCCAAGAGGTTTCTGAAAGTCTGGATTCTGCTAATAGTTATCTCCTAAAACCTGGGGCGCAGGACAGGTAACGCTGCTGGAGTGGTTCAACAGGAGCTTGCTTTACAAGACCCCTGCACAGTCCTGGTTTTCTGGTGGCCAGCTCCAAATAATGAGGAAACTGGTGCCGAACCTGCTGCCTCTCAGGGATGTGCTGAGACATATGAGCCCAGATTTTGGTATTAACTGTTCCTATATGGTTTCATTGACTGAGTGACTCTATCATGGAATAAGATTAATTGGAAGCTTAAGATCTGTGTAGGTATAAAGCGTCTTATTTCAGCTTTCATTAACTGAGGCTTCTGAATTGGAAATTTACTATGCTACTTCACCAGTTTATGCTGAGCGTCGCTTGGAACTGGGTCTGTCTCATACTCATCAGCAAGTCTCCATTTAGTTATATAGTGTTTATTTTTGGTTTTATTTAGGCCTTTTCTAGATGGTTTTTAATTGTAACTGCCTCATAAAACTATTCATGAAATGCAAGATTCATTTTTAGGTTTATTTTAGGAAGTCCTCATTTGGACTATGTGCATGCTCTTCAAAGAGAGTTGTTACTCTTTTGGTCACTGAGCTACCCAGAGAGACCAAAATGACTCATATGCAGATATGGGTTATACGGGTCAAAATTAAGATCTGCTAAACTAGCAACCGTTGTCAGAGAGACTTTTAGCTCAAAAGCTGAGGTCAAATCATTTTTCTAAAAAGAGATACTGTAAAGTTAAAAGTCAAGTTCTTTAAAATAAATGTATTCTAGTTACCTGAATTAATAACATGCTTTAAAATATTAGAACAGAATTATTTCTGAAGTTGTAACTTAAGCTTGAACTTGCAGATACTTTAGCATATATGCACATGGTCGATGGCAAATAGGCTTATCCAGTTAGTGTCTTAATTTATCTTTTTTTGCATTACTTGTGTTTGAAGTTAAGCATGTACATCCAACTTTTCTGGATGCAGGCAATTACTTTGTACCATTGGTGCTGTGTGTTTAATTCAATAGTTATCAGCCTGTTTCAATTTGTAAATCCCTTACAAGTTTTCCAGCGCGGGTGCAGATCCCATCAGGAATTGCCCTATCGGGAATACTCTAGAATATATATGAACTTGCCTTTGCAGATTCTTAACACCAGTTTATACGTGTGTGTCCCCCAAATTGCTAATTTCATGCATTTTCCTTGGCTTGGGGAGTCAATATTGAATTGTCACTTTTACTCTCCAGCTGTCATGTGCTGTCAGACTTCAATTTTTGATGCTACAGAGAAAATATCTTTTATCCCCAAATATTGCCAAATAATCTGTTTCCAATTCAGTTAAAAAATCCTATGAATTCCTATTCATATTGAGTTTGACAAAATCCTCTTTCTTAGGTCATATGAAACTTGTTAGGGACCTAAAATACCCCATAATTTAGCTCAGCTGAGCTTGGTAGATATCCAGCTTGTCCAGGCCTTTCAGATGTACTTACTGCTGGGGTATCTGGGTGTTGATCTGTCTTTCAGTGATGATATCTGAGCAGTTAAGAAATTACCAGCTATTCAGATCACCCAGATAAATGGGGCAGAGAACACTTTTGTAAAAGAAATGAGCTTATGACAGTCTGCATGTGCTATTTTTGTACAACGCAGCAAAGGGCAAGCTGTGGCACCAACAAGCATGTCTGGTAATCCCCACCTCCCCTGTCCAAGCTACTCGCTGCAGGCTGGGCTGCAAATAGCCAATTTTTTTCTCCTTGTGACCCATTTAAAATGGGACTGAAAAATGTAAATATTACCGCTTCTAAAATCTGTTCTCCACAGATGAGCACTTAAAACATCTGATGATAAACAGCAACCCCTTCTTTCATTCCTGATACACAGGCATGGAAGCCCACAGAGTGTGATTACAGAAGGGGAGGTGGGGATACCACCTTTCTAAACTTTCTACAGCTTTTGCCAGAGGCATCACGTTCTCTCTCAAATACCTACACATCAGCAGTGACCCCAGTGATACAATCTCTTAGGGAGTAGGAAGGGAGATATGATTTCTGCAAGTTTATTCAAAAAGTCTAAAAATATCTAACTGTGTGATGTGATTAAGAAAGCTTAAACTAAAATACCTTCAAAGGCTTTTTTTGTGTCTCTCATTAGCTCAAGAATATTGCCCATCATGGGCTAAATAGTATGGACACAGTTTTAACGTGCTTGAAAATGAAAAGCCGTCTCAAAATCTCCAGCATGTTTACACAGACAAGCTGCAAGTGTGCATGCTGCTAGCAGCCTGGGACTGGGCATAGCTTTTTTTTCCTCCTATGCTGCCTCAACCATCTACAAAGAACCATTTAGGATGACAAACTTTGCTGACTTTTGCAAGTATATCGCTCAGGAGAGTTACTGCATGAATCTGAATTATGAACTGGTATAGCAGGAATTTTTTTGTGTTTCTTATGTGAGGCAATGCAAGTTGTTTTTAGTCATTCTGGAAGCTGGGGGCCAGAAAGTCCACTGGCACAGAAAAGCTTGCTAGATTGCAATTCATAAAATGTTTTCTCTGTGGTTTTCACCTGCTACTGTTCCAGGTTCATCTGTGGTGTCACAGCAGTGGTAGGACAGAGGTGTCGGTGGCTTCTTCCCTTTCCAGGTCTCATAACCTGTGAAGACCTGTACTCCCAGTGTACATACCTGTGATGCTGCCTCCACTCCTGGCCAGTCCCCCCACTGCCACCCCATTCTGAAGGCTGTGCTAAGCCTTCCACTGTGACAGATAGAAATCTGCTCTCAGGCATCGGTTACCTCAACAGCTCGGTTTTCCAGGCTTGTCCTTCTGATTCCTGACTTTACCCTGGTCCACATCTGATAGAGGCTGGAATCCAGCTGCAAGGGAGCACACTGTCTGCATTATCTCCCCTACTCTGTACTCTCTGCCATGGCCATGAGGAACAAGGATTAAGAATAGCACTGGGGAATATTTAAGAGAAAAAACGCAGAACAGGAATGTCCCTTGCAACTTTGTGAATTCTTTATCCAAAGGGATAAATAGATACTTTTTTGTCAATTAACTGTGTAAGTTATGCTTCTGCTCATAGGAACAATTTGCAGACATGGCTTGCATTTATTAATAAACAGGCTAATGAATTTTAGCCAGAAAATTGCAGTTATGGACCTGCAGCAGTAGCAGTCTGACTGTGTTATTGTTTCTGGAAAGGTCGTGTTATTTTAGGTAACCCGGTAGCTGAGGGAATCCCTAGTGAAGTCTGGCAAGCTGAGAGCATCATAGTGACAAAAGCACCTCAGCTTCTTTGAGTGTTATTAGAGACAGCTTGAAATGTTGGTGTGTTTAAACTCCTTCATCTCTCTTCTCTCCCACCTTTTCCTGTAGCCAGTCTTGGCAATGATAGGCCAGTGCAGCATACCTTGCCTTGCTGTCTGTGCTGTGTTTGATAACAAATGCTGTATTATACTGGGCTGAGGTGCCTGATAAAACACATCAGCAAAGAAATAACTCACAGTTGATGTATTAGAGGTCAGCTCGAGAGGAAAGAATCAAGAGCCAACAACAATTTCACTAGCCATAGGGCCTTATAGGGCCTGGTCAAGTAATGATGAGGACTGATCAGGAAAAATTAGTGAACTAATTTTCTAAAAAGGGATCGATGTGCACTTCATTGCCTTAATTCCCAGTGTGGCCTCAAATCTGTTAGAATTGTGTTGCAATGGATTGGGCAGTTTACAGTATTCAGATTGCAGCTTGTATCTTTGCATGCTGGCAGATTCTCCACTGCTCAACAAAGAAAAGGGGGCCAAAATAAGTCCTTTATCCCCCGAAAGAGGGAAGTTTCACACTGAGATTTTACTGGGTTAGATAAGAGATGATCTAACTAGAGGTAGGTGAGAAGCAATACTGAAGATCTGTTAAGCTTTGTGGAGTTCAGATTTAGGTAAGCCGACCATTGCTATATTTTTCACTACTCGGATGGACATGGCAGATGATCCCCTTGTGCTTGAAGATGCCCTTTTCCTGCTACATCACCCTGGACAATTACCCACATGCATACTGAACTTTCATCCTCAGAAGTACTAGCCTGATATGCTGAGTACCACAGCAGATGATGTGTAGCACTGTTTGTTCTTTTTTATTTTCTAGTGAAACAGATGAAAAGCAAACCTGTCCACAGCAGAGAAAGTTGTGGTTGCCCCACGGATGTAATGGTCATAAGTGTACATCATCATGTCCATATCTTCTCCATAGTGTCCCGGATATTCTGTTGTTAACCTTTACATTAAGGAAAAAGAAGATAAAATAATTTACCATCTTATAGAAAAGTCCTGCTGACTGAATGCAACTCACATAGTAGATTTTTCCTGTTTCTTTGAAAGTTCTTGTTTCTTAATAGCGCCACAAGACGCAGTCTCACCTGTAAGACTGCATTTCTCTTCTATGCAACTAATTCATATAGCTATTTGAATAAATTTCAGTAAGCTTAGAACTGTTATGAGTAAGTTGGAGTATTATATATATATATACATCTGCAGTTCTGGGATAAAAGCAGCCTGGACAAGAATGTAAAGCTTGTCTACTACTTACGTCTTTATTGTGGGATTTGCTCTGGCCTCTTGTCAGTCTGTTTGGTTTGCTGCTGTAGAGTTCTGTAAATGTTGCCAAGTCAAATAGCTACAAGCATTTATCCATTTATGAATTATATTAAATGAATGCAGCAATTAATCCATTTCTCTTTGTTCTTTCCACTTTCCGCCTAGTTTATAATGTAAAAATAATTGGCCTGGACAATATTTGTGCAGTGTGTTTTATCTAAGAAGCTCAAAGCACTTCTGCACTTGTTAATCAAATTATGGTTACTGCTTCCCTGGGAAATAGGCAAGTAGCACTGTACTTGGCTTTACAGACATTTTAGAGATAATGAACAGATGCAGGAAGGGGCTGGGACGTTGACCAGTACTTTATGTCAACATTATGTTAGAGGTCAGGAATGGAAACCTGGCACTCAATCTTTCCCTGTATGACACCATTTTATGTGGGAGTTGCTAGTGGGGTCGTGTCAGCTTCACTCACTCCAAAGCAGCATAGAGAAGAATCGGGTTCCCTGTAAGGGAGATGCTGTCCCGGTGGAGATGAGCAGCCCAGCTCCTATTAAGACTAACAGGGTTAAGATGCCTTTACAGAAATCCTGACAACCATTTTTCTGGCTTAGTTCATCCCAGTAGCAGTACTTGAATGATGCTTGAAGGTGATATGAGCACACCCCAGCCAAACACTCATGTGCATGTTTACATTTTGTTAAATCCATGGGGTCTGAGCCCAAGCTCAAATATTGTACTCACTAGGAATATAATTATTGGGGTGGTTTTAAGTTTTTATAGTGAGACACTTTGAGGTTATTTGAAGCCCAAACTGGTAATTGTTGGAATATGCAGAAACTGAAAGTTTACCTGAAAACTGAGGGACTCTGGATTATTAGGCCGCTTTCTCCTAGAGCTACTTACTATAACAAAAACCCCTCTGAAATTGCCACCACTCTCTGTGTATTTTAAAAGTATTTTTGATTACTTCGTTTACCCTTCGTTCTTACGCTGTTTGCATCTTCCTTGTAAAGCAGGTGTCACTTAATTCCAGGTCATTTTCAGCTTTTGAAAATGAAAGAAAAACATCATTCAGTTGGAATATGATTCCTAACAAATCATTATTCCTTGGCAGATGGAAAACGGGACTGAGTGTGAAACTCAAGCATGGCCTTATAAGATACCTAAGTCTCAACAGTCAACTTTTTTGAACATAATCCTGTTCTTGTGCCTCCTGCCCTGTGGCCATGGCATTCATCAAACAAATTAGTAATTGTAGTACGAAAACACCCCTGCCCAACTGGCTTTGGGAGGCAGAAGATCAGGCCTGGTCACAACGTCCATTGTGAGAGCTCTCACGAAGGGCCCATGGATTCGCAGAGCCTTTGCAGTGCTGTGCTGTTGATAAGAAATGAAGAGCAGTTTTTCACTGATCATGCAGACAGCTGCTGCAGGCTAAGAAAAAATAGAAGAAACCGTGTACACTGGCAATTGCTAGGGTGGATAAATGGGTGGAGTCATCACTGTGCTCTGCAAGTGAGAAAATCAGAGCCACAGGTTTCAGTCTAGCCCTCATGAAAATCCAAAGTGAGACCGTTAGGGATTTTAAGGGAATTGGCCCTTACCTAGACAAAGAGAATAAATACAAATATTACAAAAAGCTGTTTCTCATGCTTCTCACTGGTTAGCTGGCGTTTTTTCCTAGACCAAAGTTCATAACCTGAATGTGTTTCTGTCAAACCATGGCAAACCTAATTTACCTGTTACTTTGATTGAAGACTGATGTTATCATTTTTGCTTTCAGGACATCTCTCCTTGTGCTCCCAAATATATATTTACTTGTCAGTGTCAGACAGTTTGCAACTCAGATTTGAGTAATTTTTTACCTAGACAATCTATGACTTGAATCTCTAATACACCTCTATGGCCCCATAGAAGAACCTTAACCTGAGCATAAGTTGGTTCTTTGGTACAGCCAACTTGCTGAAAGCCCTCCAGTTTACAGAGAGATTCTTTCGGGCCCCTGCAGTCCAGGCCCAGAGCTGTAATGAGAGCTAGAGCATACTACAAAAAGCCTGACCTCTACTGCCTAGTCTTTTATCCATTTTCTTTACACAGAAATCAAGGCCTTGAGGAGGACTTATTTTGCATGCCTGAGTCTCCCACCAGTGAAGCCATCGATCTGAATCTGGGAACTTGAGAGTATTTCTGCATCCATAGCCAGAGGCCAAGAGAAACTGGGGCTACATCTATGCTAGTAAAGTAAACAACACCAGAGAATGTTTCTGGGCACTATAACTCAATTGCCTAGACATGTAAATTATTAGAACAATCTCTGGGACAGTTTTAGCCCAGACCAACTAGCACAGTCTCAGCAGATACCTCAAAGACACAGATTGTGAGTTAGCCCATGGTAGGTACCATTCCTAACAGGCAGAATGCGGACACCCTGTTTTGGAGGGTTAGAAAATTTAATAGCGTGGCTCCTTTGCTAGAGGAAAGTCCCAGTATTTAGTTTACTAATTTGTAGCCTGAGTATCTGATAGAGCATCTTCAAAGATTCCTGGGTCACAGCAGTTTTTTAAAATACATGGTATGAAGACCACCTATGGACCAGGATTTCATTTCACATTTCCCCTATCAACTCCATGTTTTGGGGCATTTTGGGCTATTATTATGTGAAAACACTAAGGCGTGTGTTTATATATGTTCCTCCAAATGTGTTTCATAACATCTGTTTGGCATTCAGCAAGGAAAATGTTCTGTAATCTTGACCAGCACTATGTGCTGGGCAGACGAGACTGTGCAAAACACAAGGTTAAAAAGCTGCTTTCAGCCCTACACAGAGACAGAACTGAGAGTCAGTTCTTTGAACTTGTTTCATGAGCCTTTCAGCTGAAAAGTAAATCTGATTACAAGCTCCCGAATTACTGTGAAGGGTCTCACAGACCTTTTGCAGAAGCAGGCAGTATTATTCTGAAGTGAATGGATGCAGTAGGGAGCCTTCATTTTAGCTTCCCTCTCTTTTCTTTCTGCCTGCTGTTATCTCCCTCTTCCTCTCTACTAACTACTTCACGTTACCACTCAGCCTCTTAAGGCTCCTCTGCTAAGAAACAATCGAAAAGCAAATATATGCAACTACCAAAAGTAAATTATATGGAGACGAACTGCTCTGAAATTTGTCTTGTTACATAGACAGATGCCTACTGACTCCTTTTGTTCTGGAGAGGAAAATTATAACTGGTGCTATGACAACAATTTTCAACCACTTTGGTCTGTGTGGTCTGCCTGTCTAATTCAGTTCTCTCTGACATTTGCTGTACTCATTTATGAAACTGTTCCCTTAAGGCCATGTGTCTCAAGGTCATCTGGATTACATTGTACCCTTTAGAAGGATATGCAATTGATTGCCCATTTAGCAGGGCTCTGTGGTGTCACCCAGCCCTTCTCTGTTAGCCCCATTTTTGGAATCCTGGGGATAAGTCACACAAAATATATCTGTGTTGAGAGATGTGCCAGTGTTTAATGCATAGGGATATTCTATACATGATTTTCTTGTCATGGAAGGGAGAACGGTCATTTAACTCAGCCATTAAGGCTCTTCTCAAAGTGGTCTGCCTGGCACAGGACAGTGGTTGCCTCAGCATTTGTTGTAGCTTGGTGTGTAACCTTATTATCAAGTACTCACAACGGAAAATATTAAGTGTTTCACTCCCTAATGCATATCGACTGCATATCAACTGTGAACCACCTACCAGGGTCCTACAGACAGGAAATGTATTTACAAATGTGGTAGCATTTGTAAGCCACGTCTGGCAGTGTATGGTTTATACCTGAGAGGAGTCATGAAACAAGTGAGAGACTCCTTTTGTCCTAGTTGGTGAGGGTTTGCCTGCCCATGGGAGTCTGGACTCCCAAGGAGTCCAAGCCCAAGGACAAGACATATTTGGGAAGAGCCATCCACAACAACCTGCATGCGGGCCCTGTAAGCACTTCTGGCATTGACCTCTTTAGCGACAAAAACTGGGCTAGAGGAGCAGCAAGAAGCTTGGGAATTGCCAAATGCGGAGACAAAGTTGATGCTGCTGTTTGGGGTGATCTAAGGCCTCTAGGACCAAGCTGTGGTGCTTGTGGTGTCTGAGAGAGTACATGAAGAAAAGCCCTAGAAGAGAGGCTTGCAAAGCAGCTGTGAGAAGATCTCTCTTACACTGATCGTGGGATCTAGGCGCTGGTGCCAAACGAACCCTGAAGAGGTAGAGGAGCTGTGTAGGGGCTAGCAGGGTGCATTTAGTGGGTTTATTTACTAAACCCAGATATTCACATAGGTGTTAAGTTTGTGGAAGGACTCCTAGGGGAGAAAATAGTAATATGAGACCTTTAGCAAGTGGTAGTCTTTTCAATCCTTATGACCGATTTGCAAGAATTAATACAGAAAACAGAGGGATTCTACTTCAGCTTTGCAAATCCACTTCAGGTTAGTATCATGTATGATGTTTGGACACAAGAGACTTGAGTACTAGTGGCATTGTCAAGAGAGGAGAAAGCAGGTAATTCTATGTTAAAGACTGGCAAAAAAAAAGGTTATGCGAAGGGATGTAAGTGGTGTGGCACGTGTGGAAAACCTGACAGAAAAAGGTATTTTTGTAATGGGGTTTTTACCTGGGATAGAGTTGATGTGGGATGGTTTATCTTCTG